CGCTACAAGAGGAGGTAGGGGTTTTGCAACGAGAGATGAGAGATGAGGTGGGCGAGTTACGAGAAGAGGTAAAGGTACTGCGATGAGATTTGAGAGACGGGTATCAGATTTATGCCATGATGTTGTAGTACTACAAAGCTGTATAGCAAACCTTCAGGATGAGGTCACAATGATCCAAGACGATATAATAGGCAGGCGAGTAGGTGATAGACTGGGTGACGGCGATGGTGATCGAAAGGGTAATGGAGATCGGAGTCACACACCGCTGTAGAAAACTGGTGATGCATTAAAATTATTTTTGTTGCCTATGGAGTATGAGGAGGTGGCCACGATGCGGACGGGAAAGGTGGTAGAAAAGAAGGGGGTTGCCCCAATGACGAAGGCGGTGGCGGTCCCCAAGACGGAGGATGTGCTCGAGACGGATAGAGGTGATGGATGAGGAGAGGATGCCAATTGTGACAGAGGGTAATAAGCGTTCTGTTGACGTGCCAGAGCAGGTGGTCGGAAAGAGGTCGAGATTGCCATCACAGTACGTCGTTTCTCCATTCACGATCGAAGCGAAGATGAGGACGTTCGTCGACGGGACGTACCATAATCTATTTTGGGATATGGACCATGCCAGTGGAAAGTGTTCGAGATAGAGTGGAAAAGAATTATGCCCGGCTAAGTATTTTATGATTTTAGTGAAGTACGCTATGCTAATTCATCTATACTTCTTTTAACAGTTTTTTTGTTCTTTTTTTTCAGAGCTAGCCACATGATAGCTCAAAGGACAATCCCTGATACCTATAAGTGGTCTAATGACATCACAGTTTCGAGAGCTTGGCCCGCGACGATGTAAGTATAATATTATGTACTCACAACTTTTTGTTTATTAAATGAAATAACTCCCTCTATCTTTTTATTAGTGTTTCAAAATGTAGAACATCGACCTGACTATGGACTTGTTGCGCGATCGGGCTCAAAGATATCCGAGATCATTCGACATTCCTGGCCGATTCATATTGAGCATCAAGTTCCTAGGTGTCGTTACCATTGAGTATCAGTCGCTCCAACTTATGGGTAATGAGTATACGGTGCCCAAATATATTCTCGAATGGGTCATAAGGATGTGGTCGAGTGTCGGGAAAAAGTCATGGAATAGCTGTACGTATATGTACATTCAAATGATCGTAAATCATTACTACTTTGTTGTGGAGATCGTCTTTGCTGATTTCAATATATATGTGTACGACTCCGGTCATTCTTGTTGACACAAAGTTAACTCAAGCTTCACTTGAAGCCGGTAGCTGTGATCGTTCCTTTGATGGTTAGACGAGCGGGGGTGATTGTGCAGACGTAATAACCATCTTACGAGACATGACGACGGTGAGATAGTCAAAATCATAAGTATTTATAATTTTCTAATTTGAAAACTTAGTTTTTAGTTATACAGTACTGAACTAATACATTATTATTTAATTACGGGGGCGATTGTGACATATTCGCAATAAAATATATTGATTTTTTAGTATAGCATATAAGGTTAATGTAATCAACCAATTTTGGATATAAAATTGGAGGAATAAGTTAGCATGCGATTTGTATGAATTCAATTATGATCTGTAAATTTTGTATATTTAATTGTTTATTTATTTGTGAAATAATTGTAAATATTGTAAAAATATATAAATATTATATATTTAGTTGTTTATTTAATTGTGAAATAATTGTAAATAATGTAAATATTGTTCAACTATCGGCGGTACCATTACATATTTGTCTAATTATCATTTAGGGGAATCTGAATTGTACAAAATTGGCGAGTATGATATATTGCATTGTACCGCCGCACCTACGCGATCGAGAAAACTCTTCGGTTTATGGTATTCTAGACGTACGTGGACATCCAGAATCACGCGGTTCAACTTTGGGTGGTAAAAAACTATTAAGTAGGAGAATATGGTCGAGAACTTCTCACTCGACTTCATTCAGTAAAGGAAATATAGTCTTAGCATATACTACTCTCCAATAATTAGCTGTGTAATAAGGAGAGTATAAGATTCTCGCTGCAAATCCTCTATACATAGTTACCGCGACTGCATGCTCACATGGAAAACTCTCTAACTGAAATCGACTACAAGTGCATGTGTTATCAATCAAGTCCACCATTTATGTCATATTACGTGCACATATCATGGAGAAGAGCAACTCATCCAATGGTTCCACATTCAACTTTCTCGTAACCTCTGCAACTTTGAAGAGTTTATCCTCCTGAGTCAGAGCCAGCACGTTCGTGGAACTTTGTGATTCAGCACATTGGTCGTCAAACCACTGCTACAGCTTGTTACAAATGTTCTCAATCATTGCGAGGATTGGTAACTTTCAATCATTCTTGAATAATGCATTGAGCGACCCGCATTGTTTGACGTCGTCGTGTTGTATCGAAGTCATGAAAAATGTGATCGCGCTCAATATCCAATCTTCATTTTTGTTAGATACTCTCATGTCGGGAATTTAATTGTTTATTTATTTGTGAAATAATTGTAAATATTGTAAAAATATATAAATATTATATATTTAGTTGTTTATTTAATTGTGAAATAATTGTAAATAATGTAAATATTGTTCAACTACCGGCGATACCATTACATATTTGTCTAATTATCATTTAGGGGAATCTGAATTGTACAAAATTGGCGAGTATGCTATATTGCATTGTACCTGCCGCACCTACGCGATCGAGAAAACTCTTCGGTTTATGGTATTCTAGACGTACATGGACATCCAGAATCACGCGGTTCAACTTTGGGTGGTAAAAAACTATTAAGTAAGAGAATATGGTCGAGAACTTCTCACTCGACTTCATTCAGTAAAGGAAATATAGTCTTAGCATATGCTACTCTCCAATAATTAGCTGTGTAATAAGGAGAGTATAAGATTCTCGCTGCAAATCCTCTATACATAGTTACCGCGACTGGATGCTCACATGGAAAACTCTCTAACTGAAATCGACTACAAGTGCATGTGTTATCAATCAAGTCCACCATTTATGTCATATTACGTGCACATATCATGGAGAAGAGCAACTCATCTAGTGGTTCCACATTCAACTTTCTCGTAACCTCTGCAACTTTGAAGAGTTTATCCTCCTGAGTCGGGGCAAGCACGTTCGTGGAACTTTGTGATTCAGCACATTGGTCGTCAAACCACTGCTACAGCTTGTAACGAATGTTCTCAATCATTGCGAGGATTGATAACTTTCAATCATTCTTGAATAATGCATTGAGAGACCCGCATTGTTTGACGTCGTCGTGTTGTATCGAAGTCATGAAAAATGTGATCGCGCTCAATATCCAATCCTCATCTTTGTTAGATACTCTCATGTCGGGAAAGAAATGTGATCGCGCTCAATATCCAATCTTCAGTTTTGCTAGATACTCTCATGTCGGGAATGATTTACTTCCTATTTCCACCATGAACTTATTACACTCTTCAAAACTGTAAGCTTCAGCTGCTTTCCTGAACAATGAAACGATGTCTTTGTCCTGATACTTAGTTTTCAGGTTGCCTTGTAAATAGTACATGCACTACCCATGACATACCTTGGAAAAAACTTCAGCGATACCATTTATTATAGATGGTCCCCGTTTAGTTACAAAGGTAAGGTCCTTGACTTCCCAAATTACTTCTCTTAGCTTTGTGAAGAACTAATGCATCGACAGATTATTCTCGCTATCGATTATGTTGAATGCAAAAGGGTAAATTTGAATGTTAGCATCTTGATATGTAGCAATAATTAACTTGCATTTGTATCTAGCTTTCAGAGTTGTACCATCGATTAGAATTAGTGGTCACATCGTATTTCGAAATCCCCAAATGCATTGTCTAAGAGCCATGAAGAAAAACTTACAGCAATTCTCACCCCCCGTCTCAATAAAAATGCCGAGCCAGGATTAGTTGTCCCCATATTATGGCAATACCTTACCAATTTAACATAGCTCTTTTTGATCGAGCCCATTAAATCCTCCAACCAGCATTCTTTGGCCTTCTAGGCCTTCGGTAGCGCATGACCACTCCGTATTCTTGCTGGACGTCGTTAATGATGTCCGAAGGTTTATAGATCGTCTGTAGGTCCTGATACTTGTTTTGAGATGATGGATCTTAATTTTTTTTTAAAAAAAATTTGTTTACCTCACATTAAAGTATAAATAACTTTGTTTCACACAAGGTATGAGTGTTATGCTATCTAGTCACGACTACAAAAGTTTTTAAAAGGTACAAGGCATAATCAGGCTTGAAGGTCAAACTTCAAATCTTACGGAAATAAAGATAGTAAGTCGTTATTTTTAATGTTATTTTATTTACCTTAAACTAATAAATAAATAAAATAAAATAACACAGCTTGAAAATTTATAGAAATTTCATACATAGTTTTTAAGTTTATAACAAAACATGATTTTAAACATCATAAATAACACAACAATAATTCTTTGTCGCTAGTCGAGGAAGCTACATTTGTTGATTTGAACTGTGGTGGGTTTTTTGTTACACTTATTATTATTATTATTATTATTATTATTATTTTAAGATTTTAACAATAATTAAATATTTTGTTGGACCGGACTTCTATGCAAGAAAATACCACTTGCCAAACAGAAATGGACACACCTTAAATGCTCAACATAGTGTTTATTACCTCTTTTCCTGCCAAAAGGCTAGGCAAGAAATTTTCTCCATGCTAAGTGATGCCTAGGCGAGCTAAGTTTCGCCTAGATAGGCATTTTAGAACACATCATATAATTAATGAACAAAAATACGTGATAAAAACTATGACTACCTTTCTCCTTTAACAAGACTTGGATCGTTCATCCAATAAATTAAGACAAGAAGTCACTGATCATTAACGAGGAATCCACATTAGAACATGCATTTACGTAAATAAATGTTACAAGAATCAAAACTCTTTGCTGAGAATGGAAATCTGCTGAGAAATATAGCAGACAGAAGCTTTTATAAAATCAAATGATGTGCACTTCATTTTTTAACTTGTCGATTAGTTCATCTACAGAAGACACGACAACACCTGCTTTTCTCTTGGGTGGTTCTGTCACTTGAACGACATCCAAGTCAGATTTGATCTCTACGTTCAACTCCTGTGGAGTAACTTTCGTTATGACCTTTGATTTTGCTTTCATTATGTTAGGAAGGGTAGCGTATCTTGGTTGGTTCAGTCTCAAATCAGTGCTGCACGAAACACAAACTTTAATACAAACGTAGAAAATCATTTGAGTCAAGGCATGTAGGCACATGCATGCATCCACAAGATCAAACTTCCAAACGGTGATTGAGTCCATATGTGAAAAGCCTTCTAAATTTAAGATATAGAAACTATAATGCAGCAAACACCAATACTAAACCATCTTCTGGCCCCATGTCCCATATCGATTATATAAGGATTGTTTGAAATCCATAATTATTTAGGCTAAGAAGTACAATTATGGACATGAGTATAAACGACTGTCACATCCACATATAGCAAATCTTATAAACCTTGGATTAGAGAACATTCTAGTTAGATATCAATTTCATGTCAGGTGATAATGTTAAACAAGAGCAACATCATTCACAAATTTAATGATGATATTTTATCTTCTAAATTCTATCGAACCATATAGCAGGATGATATTCGCATAACCTTGCGCCCTTATCCATGAATACTGTTTGCCAACATATTATTCTCATCGAGAGGACTCTCTCTACTCTTATACCTCCTATCTACTATTAATATATTTCCTTACCAGTCCAAAAAAAAAAAAAGGAATAACAAGCAGATGCTACCAAGTCTATGTTATAATTTCTTCATTAAATGAGGAATTTATGCTTAAATTCAAACATGTCAAGTGTCTGACTACAGCCAAAATGTAATAAAAGAAGGAAATTATCGATATGAGCACAGCCAACGGGGAAGGCATTAGAGACAAGTCCACGAGCGTTCAAAGATTTCAGTGTCTAACAAAGACTCATTGCCTTCTTCGAAGTCATTGCCCTCCTTCAAATGCAGGTAATATAAACATTACTTACACACTCCTTGAGGCACTTGCTCCACACTAAGCTCCTAATTTAACTCCACTAAAATGAGATTTTGGGCAAAAATGTGTTTTGGAATAGTGATTTTTTAGAGAATGTATGGTTAAAAAAGAAGGAAAGCTTTGTGTTTACGCGTAATATTATGTGAGAATGGGTGGTTGAAAATAAGCTCTAGAAAAATGCATTTTTGAAAAAATGGAGCCCAAACAGGGGCTAAGTTGTTTATGTCACCCGAAAACTTGGCTCTGGTCATGATTTGTGCAAGTAAATTTAAGATTATTAAATCCTTTTCCTATTTTCTTGACTTGTACAGAAGAACATAAAATTCAGGAAAAGCGTCCACCAAAGAATGTATACGTATACGTGTTCTGAAAATAAGCAATAGCAACATGGAAAAAGAAATGTTTACGTGATTACTGCAGGTAATTCCAAACACAAAGTCTCAAGACCGCCATCAACCTCTCTGTCCACCGTTACTACTTGTTTCTCTTGGTCCAGTACAACCTAACAAAAATAATTAATTTTCAGGAAAAGGTAAAAATTAGATAGAAAGTACAAACAAATGCACATGGACTGTAACCAAGGAAAATGAGATTTTTCCAACAGCATGAAAGAGCAGACTTTAGCTGACTTTATGAAAAATAAATGACGATGGTAGAGCATGAGAGAGACAAGCTTCAACCGACGTTTGGATTATGAGATTTAACAGAATTATATCAAAGAAATTACTAAGGACACATAACTACTTTGAATAATTCTATCAATGCTGTTCATGTTTAAGATTTGCATGTATCATGTTTGATGCACCAGAGATTTAGAAAGTACACAACTGAAAAGACACATAAAGAACATATGAATTTGTGTGGAATCATAGAGGAGCAAAAGGGCAAGAGAGGAGGGAAAATAATGTGAAAAAGGCAACCAAAATTGCAGATCAACATTGCTTTCCCTGATTTGAGAATTTCACGAAATGAAGGAAAAATTTTAGTGCTGAACTTTTTATCTTTTAGAGGGTCAAAGGATTTCATCCCTCCCCCTCTGCTCAATTTTCATGACACTAATGTGCAAGAAAGTAGGCCTCGGCATCAAATGGTGTCGGTCCAAGTATTGCAATGCTCGGAATCAATTTTACACTTTGAGTATTTCGTAAATAGAATTATTCGGGTCCACATAATTATTGGAACCGAACCCGAAACATCAGCTTTGGCTCGGGTTTGGTTCTACCCAGAATATTTTTTCAAAAAAAGAATCATTAACCGATAATATAAATTATCTTCCCAAAATTTAGCATATATATAAGAAATAAAATATGCCACCAAATATTATTTCAACACTTTCATAATCTACTACAAATATGCCACTAAACAATATCCAATATTTAACATAATAGCATCCAATTCCGATTGTGGCTCTGCATGCGATGCCTCAAGAATGGTTTGTGGGGCGGGCAATAAATAAAGTACCGTCATAAGTGTCTATGAACGAGAATGATACGATTCAATTATTCAAATGAATTAATCTAATTCATTAGGGTACTTACCACTTTGAGCATTGCAAACTTGCTAAGACTGGGTCATAAGGTCAGGGTGCACAAATCGTAAAAATAAAAAATTATAAATTCAATCCTAAATCGAGTATCCACGGTTCTAGTTCAAGAACCAAGAACCTGGAGGACTCGGTTGTTTCTCGGTTCTTGGTTCTGATTCCTAATTATTATTATTTTAATTGGACGGAAACCTCAATTTTTGGTTCGTTTTCGGTTCGGGAGATTCAACTCCGATTAAAACACCTACCCTAAAAGAAAGTGATTACATGGTATATGATCAAACAAATAAAATCTTATATTGAGAAGGGGAAAATGTGATGTAGATGCTATATAACAATTATAATCTACTTCTATTGGATAATTGTTCAACTTTATCATGCAAAAGTTAGTGGCATGGAAGATAGAAATAGTGTCATGTTGTATTTATAAGGCCAGCAAGTTAAACAAGAGCATAATCATAGAGGTTAGTGAATGACAGTTTAGCCAATCAACAAGATAGATGAATGATAAGATCTACATCATTGCAAAGGCATTATAACAAATTATCTAGAAAGAATTTAAGAATAAAGAAAATTTTGAATACAATGTAACGATATGGCTTCTACGCACAAATGGTTAACTTCCATATTGTCCATTCTAGGAGAGTCTAAGCCCATCTTACCTTTCACGGATTTCTATGAGCATAGAGGCCGGGTCATTACAAAAAAATGCGCGCTTTTTTTTAACAACCCGACCTCTATGCCAAATCCGTTGACTTACGTACTATCTTTGTTCAATTGGTACAAGAATTCAACTTAAATCTCTATTAAGGGGAGGTCACGTATTTGAATCTTAGGGATGTGATAGAAATCCGTAAGGGCATAAAAGGGTCATATACCCTCCCAGAGCGGATAATGTGTAAGTTAATGGTTTGTACACAAAGCCAGGTTAGGTCGTTACATACGGAGTTAGTGAGAATGCACACATTTACTTTTTCATATTTCCTTTGAAACCAGAGGGACCATTCATATTTTATTTTCTTCTTCCAAGATTTGGAAAGAAGTCGATAAGTTAGTTACAGAATCTCATTCTTATGTTGTTTTCACAATTAGAAAGAAAGCGTAAACCGAAGCTTTTATGGGAAGCGACTCTGGAGACTGGGCACTAATTCAGAGTGTTCAACTTTGAATGGAAAAATTTTCTATGACTAGTAATTCATTTTGTTTAAAACCCAAATTAATATATACTATTAGGTTGACTTATCCCCCAATGTGTATTTTGATTCTCCCTGTTTACAGCTTGACTCACTGACTCTTATGGAGAAACAATCAAAAGGAGAAATAAAGATTACAACCAAAAATGACTAGAAAAATGAATTAGCTCAAATAGAAGGTACAAGAGAGAAAAAGATGAAGAAATTAGCACTTAAGAACTGTAACTTCTAAAAGGTGAAAGGTTCCTGCACCGGTGGCTGAGCACAGGGAGATAAAGACCAACACAAGATGATGTAAATGATGACCTTTATAATGATGTAATTGTAAGGAACTGTAAATACAGAATTGTACTTAGATGACAGAAGAACACCAGTGCTAGGAAATTGTATTCAGCAACAATAAAATGAAAGTAAAGATATTTGGCATTCGAGAGGCCAATTCTCTCCCCTAGATCCTTCTCAATTTCCTCCCCTTTTTCCCTGTTATTTCGCTTTCTATTTATAGGCAATCTATCTCACCCTATTCACCACAATACCCCTGCTCCTAACTGAATCTGTTTCTATGCTTCTCAATTCTTCTAGGTCTTTCTAGAGTATGTGACAGCAACATGTATCTTATGTTAATATTATACTAATTCCTGTTGAGAAAATGATGGGCTTCATCAGTCCAAAAATTTTCAGAATAAAGAAAAATCAACATTTTAATACATATATTCATCACACTATTCCGATAAAAAGATGAATTTCATCTTATATTTTATAAAAGCTTGTGCACTGCAATGCTAACCTTGGAGGCAAAGGTCCCTTGAGGCCATTTGAGAAGCCCAGCAACCATTTGGCCTGTCTGGTTACAGTCGTCGTCAATTGCCTGCACAAAATCTGAACATCAGAAACAGTAATCTAAGGCAGAGATCAGTAGAAAGAAGGTAGTTCGATTCAAAATTCTTTAAGAGGTAAGGAAATATAATTCAAAGAATTCTGTAATACAATAAACATAAAACAGAGAACTTTCTATCGAGTAAACATTAAAATTTTTATACACAAAAGCATACATTATCAAAAGGCATGACAATATAGTAGCAGTAACTGAAACTTCAAAAATCATTGTTATAGTGATTTAATGTAATTAATGGTACAATCAGTGAATACATCAGTTTTTCAAAAATCAACTGTTGCAAGAAAAGTTACGATATACCATAATGGGCAAATATCCATCTTATTTCTTCATATCTATGTCCAATGCATCAATAAAATGAGGGTCAAAGATCAATGTTAAACACGCCAAATATATTATCAGGCAAATGAATGGACTGTCTCAAAAAACTCTAAGATGGTTAATCTAGAGCAGTTTCCATCTTACAGATAAATTTACAAGCAATTTCATTTCTACACTTTCCATGGAGCTGGCCAAAATTTAAATGCAGTCTCAAAAAAATGAGTACAAAAGTTAATAGTCTCTATCACACTTTTACAGCTATAATTTCCACTTTGACATTTCTCAAATCATAAATAGCTCTATTTCTAAAAGTTTATCAAGATTTCCTACATTGCAAATGTTCATTTTCTTTTTTGCTGAGCGTATTCTAGCAGATAAACACTAGACATAATGGAAGATTCTATGAAACTGATAGGCCCCAAGTTATCCATTACTGCTTGTTAAGTCCTATTCTAGAGTGTTCCAATTCAGTTAGTTATTAGGGGTAGTTTGGGGAATAAATTGGGGGAATATTAGTATAAATGTAATAGGAGGGTGAGCAAAATAGGCATGCAAATATTGAGTATTGGTTTATCCAATTGGGAGACTACCAGCTTCTCGAATTGCTGGAATTTATCCTTCATTTTCATTGTAATTTCGTCATTAATTCAATATCAATTCTCAGTTGTTATTTTCATATAATCAGGTTCCTATCAGAAACCTATTCGTTCCAAACATAAGTGTTTTCCTAGACTATCTCCAGGATAATTTGCACAATTCCAAATTTTCCCACTTTTCTAAACAGGAACTAGTATAGGATTCCTCCTCTGACACAGGAGTGCATTAGAAGAGAAGAAAATTCTCTCTTTAGTATTTTAATCTGGATAAATGGAGATGAGTGTTCAAAAAAAAATGTCGACCACTGATACTCCACAATAATTACCAATGAACTTCGAATAAGACTGATCAATCTAATGCATTCGTAAGTATACATATACATAATATTAGTAGCGCGTAGCACTCAAATTGGGGATGCACGACTATAAAATTTATATGTTTTATTTTTCATTTCATTCATTATTGCCATTGAAAATGGAATTAGGTTTATTCCCTAACGTCCTATTGCATGGAATAATTAAGAAATGTGTCTATATGTTTTCTTTTCGAGTTTATCCGATTTTCTTGCTCGTGATTTTCCCAAAAATAAGCTTACCTAGAAAATGTAAACAAACAAAGAAAAATTGATGTTGTAACTAGCAAGAATGCGGTTCAAGTGCAAAGCACAAGCACAACATATTTTCCAGAATGGTATGAAAACTTTATGCTTCAAGATTTGCACCTTGCCTTAGCATCACCATATTATTAAATTAACAACTTAAATCCATTTCATGTCCTTAAATTCACCACGTACCCAATAATCCCACTTCACGTAAAGGTGCTTTATTCAAATGAAAAAACATGAAGAAAATAAGCATTTATCCAATCAAATTTCACATAAAACCAAATAAAACGCACAAAATTTTTTATCTTTTGAATGTACAAAACAGTAATGATAGAGTAATTTCATCCATTGCAAAGCATAATTCTCCATAATACGAAATGAAAAAATATTTTGTAAAATTTACCTGTTTGCCAAGAAGAAGAAGACCAGGCTTCTCAGCTTCAACAAGAGCTTTAAGAATCTTGGCAATGGAAAGCGGGTACAAACTTCCCGGATAATCCACGTGGATGGCCCGGTCCGCCCCCATTGCAAGCCCGGTCCGGAGAGTGTCAGCACACTGAGCCGTGCCCACACTGACAGCCACAACCTCGGAGGCCCGACCCGACTCCTTTATCCGGAGTGCTTCTTCTAATGCTATCTCGCAAAACGGGTTCATAGACATCTTCACATTTGAGGTCTCCACTCCAGTCTGAGATTAAATTACAAATAATTAAAGTAATATGTTTCATAGTTCGGATTTTGAGGATTTTTGGGAAGGTTATACGGATATACCTTGTCGGGCTTGACCCGGATTTTGACTGCATAATCGATGACCCGTTTGATCGCTACCATGATTTTCATGGTCATGGTTGATCCCTTACTGCAACTAGTTGCGTAAGAGAGAGAAGAAATTTGGGAAAACTGGAAGGTGATAATGCTCGATAAAGTTTCTTTAAAAAAGGTCTCTTCAATCTAAATTTTTTAAGGAATTTGTGAATTTTTATTTTTGCATTAAATTAATGGAATTTTTTTCGTAAATTTATATAGAATTTTATTTAATTTTTTTTATAAAATTTAAATTTTAAAAACTTTCATTTAGCCCCCGTTTGGACCACTTTTTTATCTCATTAAAATGAAAAATATGACTGTAATCCATCATATCAACATTTAAATTCAAATTTTCTATCTCTTGTGTGGATTCCAATAATAACTATATTTTTTATTCTCATTCTACAATAAAGTAGCTCAAACAGATGCACTTCAATCTAAAGCACTAGAAAGTTCCATGTGAAAATTCGATCATTCTCATCCCCTTCCCTCCTTCATATAATAACAATAATTAAAAAATATAAAAAACTAAGTCACCTCAATTAGATAAATAACTAATAGAAATACAAAAAAATATATAAAATATTTGAGGGCCTGTTTGGTACAGATTCTCATTTTCTACAGTAACTNTACAGTAACTCAATTCTCATTTTCAACCACACATTTTTTAATAAAATAATATTTTCCATCACATCAATACTTTTTTCTTCTTTTTCAACCACACATTTCCCATCATATCACTATTCAAAAATCAATTTTTCCCCTAAAAATCTTTACCAAACACATTCTTAGTGTTATATGAGAAAAAATAAAGAAATATCAAATTTTTGGTATTCTAAATATATCAAACATTTAAAACTAAACAACCAATTCAAATTATTTAATTACAAATTAGTCTTTTATTCTAAAAAAAATCTTATAAAATTTAATTACATCTTGATCTTTTTTATTAAAAATTGGATAAACAGAAGAGAGAAAAATTTATAATATTTTCAATTATAGTTTTGTCATTTCTTAGTAGAAAATAGGGAGGAATTATGAAAAAAAAAAGAATAAATATAATCGGTATAAAAGAGAGAAATGTTAATTTTTTAAACATTGCTCTAAAATTCACAGAAGGGAAGAAAAAAAAAAGGAATTACTGAAATGACAAATATACATATTAAAAGACCTTTTTTATGAAAATATCCCAAAATCTCATGGATGAATGAAAAGAAAAATATCGGAATTTATTTTTTTACTTTAAGCTTGTAAATTAATTTCTAGAGATCTTTATAAAAAATTTAAAAGTCGTTCTCAATTTAAATAAATGTGACTTGCAGAGATTTTTAAAAAAATTAAATTAAATACACAATTACTTTTAAAGATTTTAAAAATCTATAAAAGTCTTTGATGAATATATTAATACTTTTAGAGAGTCTATAAAATTCTACATTTAATATTCCCAATTTTTTTTTTTAAATCCTTAAAAGTCTTTAAAAACCCCAATTGAATACACTCTCTTAAATTTCTTACGTACCTCTTACATGATTCTTATTAATAGGATAAAAGGCCGCATTCGATTCTCAACATTATGTTTAAGTGTTAACCCCCTTTTTATTTATCTTAGACATTGTTTTAATTAAGATGGTAGTTTAAAAGCTTCAACAAAGCAAATTTTATTTTGGGAAATTTGCACTATTTATCCCCTAATTTCTTACCTCAATATCAAGTAGTGTGATAATATTTTTCTTTTTTCTTTAGATACGATTGCATTAAGCTTATATTGATTGTATGGATAAATAAGTTTAACCGAATTTTCTATTTGATATCAGAGCAAGTTGGTTCAGACTTGAATTAAACATTTTTGTTACTCGACGAGTGTCCTGCTAATTTTTTTTTTCTTTTCATATATCGATTTCGTTTATTTGTTTGGAAAACTAGGCTTCTAAATTTGGGTTTCGAATTGAGCCCTAAATTTTTAACATTAATTCAAAGATATAGTGATGTCAGCAAAGTAATTTCTAAAATCAAAGAAACTTAAGATGAATCCTATTCTCATCTAGTGATGTCACAATCTTCAACGAACATCCAAAGCTTCTGTTTGCAATCTTAATCCTTGATATCTATTGTTATTTCACAATCCAAGCAACTATTCGTAACCAACCATTGATGACAATCAGGTGAGTGTGCAAAACTTCAACAAGACTCTGCAATACACGCAATTCTTTTGTTACGTATGTGACAATTTATTTTTCATTTGTTAGCTACACCAGCTACCTACAAATGCTCAGTGACCCTCTCTTGATATACTCAGCCTTGTAATAACCATATATTGTTGCTGAAAGGAAATTGTGGCACAATGATGCAATGACCCAATGGGCCAAATGAGATAGCCCAGCTGGAATTGAGGTCCAGC